CCCGTGCCATGTGCGCAGAAGTGCGTCGCCGGGGATCGACTCGCTGCCTCGCGACGTTTTGTGCTGGTTTGTGCTCACACACTGTCTCGCTTTCCAATTGTCTTGAGCTTTTCGCACTCGGGCAGTGTGCCGATATGTGCTCGAGTTTGCGGTCTACAGTTGCTTCTCGCGGCTGGGATCAACGCCACCTTAGAGCGGGATTAGTCAGGACACCCACAAGACAGCAGGACCGAGTGACGCGCGTGAGAGCGTCGCATGCACCGGCCGCGCTCTCCGGCTCCTGGCGACCGAGCAAGGCCGCAGCATCTCCGCTCGGCGCGCGATCTGGCGAGGCGGGTCTTGCCGTCGTCCGGCCAGCTGAGGGAGCCGGCAGCCGGCGCGAGGCTGGTCCGTGGTCGTGCCGACCCGGCCGTGACGGCATAGACGACGCGTGCCGGAGCGTCGCCGCCGGAGCCGAGCTCAGCCTGTCGTGGGCTGAGCTTCAGGCTGGGCCCAGCCTGTCTTCCGAGGCTGAGCCCGGTGACGTCCCGTGGGCTGAGCCCATGCCCATAACGTCACGTGGACAAGGCTCGACCCGCGACGGTCTGCAGGCTGATCTTGGGCTGAGCGCCATGGCCGTCCGGCTGGATTTGGTCCGGCTTCTGACCGCCGCGGCGGCTCTGGTGGGACCCGAACGCGGCTGTCCGCCTGTCGCCATCCGGAGCACAAATGACAGCAAGGCGTTGTTAAGCCTGTTCAAAGTGTCGGCGCCGCGCGTCCTCATGGTCCTTGGCGTGGTGACGTCGATCTCCTGTCGTGTGCAGGCCAATTAGGGGTCAGGTCAGATCAGGTCATTGTTATGGCACGTCTTCGTACCCGTCCTGATGCCTCACAGACCTCCCCTCGCGGTTCGAGTTCGGTTGAATGGGATAGGGTCAGCACTGTCGTCACTGAGCACAGGCCTGACAACGCGCTGGATTTAATCGCGCCATTCGCAGCGATACGCCCAATAATCAGAGGCGTCGACTGGCGCTTTGTACTAACTTCAACGACTGAGTCTGATGTCCCTCGAGCAGAGATTCTTTCGAACGCATTTGCGAGCCGTGCCGCTGTCGGCCTTGGTTCTGAGAGCAGACGCACGACAGCTCCCCCTGCGGGACGTGTCTGCCGCGCTGACCTCCCTGCGCGGGGGAACCCCGGAACACGGCGCGCCCGTCTGGAGGCACGCCGTCGCGCGCCGCTCTGCTCCAGCCGCTGACGTCACCGTCGCGCCAGCCGGCGGCGGCGGCGGCACGCGCGTTTGTTGACGGCCCGCGCCGCCGACCCCTGACCCGCGCCGTCTGGTGCGCCCGCCGCCTTTGTGGTGCCGACCGACGGCGCGGCGGCCGGCTGACGGGCCGGCGACGGAGGCCGAAACACGCCGCCGCCGCCGGCCGACGCGGCGGCTCTGAGGCGGCGGCGGATGCCGCGCCGCGCCGCTCCGGCGCCGCGGTTTGACACACCGGTCACAGCGGCCGGGACGCTGTCACGCACGTGCCCGGCCGCCGGACGGCAACACTCGGGCGCCGCACGACAAGCGCCAGAGCCAGGCGGCGGGTCAGCGTCTGTAGTCAACGCATCGCGTCGCAGCAGTGCGTGAGCGTACGTCGCCAATACGTGGCCGCTTGCCAGGTGTCTCCAGCGTCAAGGTGAGCTCGCGCGCCGCGTCTGCTGGCCCGCCCCCGGCCGGCGTCAGCGGTCCGGCCAAGTTCGCGTGTTCCGGCGTCGCAAGCCGCGGGCGGTCCCTCCGTGCACCCCGGTAAATGGGCCGGCGAGCTGGGCGGCCGCCGCAGGCATGCTACGTGGGCGGCGGCGCGGTCACCGCAGCTGCCGGGTCGCGGCGGATCGGCAGCTCCGGCGGCTCCTGCGCCACGGCAGGACCGCCGGCTCCGGCGCCACGACGGACCGGCGCGGGTGGGACCGAGTGGGGACCTTCCCGGCCCGGGGGGGCAGAGCTAGCGGGTTATTGGCCGCGGTGACCTGGTGCGCTGCGTGTGACGGCTGCATGAGGCGGGTGTATTGAGGGCCGGGAGCTGCCGACCACGTGCACTGGACGCGCCGGACGGCAGCGTGTGGCTGCCCGTCACGGAAGCCGTGGCCGGGCGGCTGCCGTGCCTCAGTTCGCGGACCGTTGCGGACCGTTGCGCTCACGCCACCGCGCCGCGCCGTCGACAGGCAGCATTGGTCTTCGCGGTTCTCAGGCTCTTCTTCCCTTTACACGTCACGTGAGCCTGATTGCCGCCGAAGCTTCTGCGTCATTACCCTCAGGAGGTGAGCGACCTTCACGCTCATTGACTATTTTTGGAGTTCGGCAGAAGCACGGTTCTGGTCACCCGTGCGCCGCTGTGTCGGATCGGGGTGGGGGCAATCGATGGGGCCTGTTTGGCGTCTCTTTGATGCAGGTCCAGAAATACACGTATGTGCAGCTTTGATCGACGGCCGTGACGACCGGCGGCTGCGGAGCGCCGCGCCCCGTCGCCTGGGCCGTGTGTGCAGCGGTGGCGGGGTCGATGCAAAGGTCACCTTGATCCGCTGTCACCCCTCCCCCTGTGACCGTCGTCGCCGTGTCGCCTGCTCCCGCCGCGCCGAAACGCTACCGCCGGCCGGCTGGCGAGCGGCGGCGGCGGCGGCGCCGGGCGCTGCCGCTGGGTTTTCCCGACGGGAGGCCGGCGGGTCGACAGTGGCCTCTCTGGCGGGTCCTCCTCTCCTCTGCACGGCTGCCAGCTGGGGGTGGCCGATGTCCGGCTCTGGCTGGCAGAGGGTCACTGGGCCGCCCGCGCCCGCCCGGCCTCCACACCCGTCTCTGAGCGTGCTTGGGAACGGGACGGCTGATGTCCGGCTCTGGCTGACGGGGGGTCACCGGGCCGCCCGCGCTCGCGCGCGCCCACCCGACCGCCGCAACCGTCTCTGGCCGGGTTATGGGAGCGGGACGGCTGGTGTCCGGCTCTTGCTGGCGGGGATTCGCCGGGCCGCCCGCGCTCGCGCGCCCACCCAGCCTCCGCGCCCGTCTCTAGGCGTGTTGTACTACCTGCGCGCCCGTCTCTAGGCGTCACTAGGCGTGTTGTACTACCTGCGCGCCCGTCTCTAGGCGTCACTAGGCGTGTTGTACTACCTGCGCGCCCGTCTCTAGGCGTCACTAGGCGTGTTGTACTACCTGCGCGCCCGTCTCGAAGCGTCTCTAGGCGTGTTGTACTACCTGCGCGCCCGTCTCTAGGCGTCTCTAGGCGTGTAGGCGTTAGAGTACCGTGGGCATATTGCCTCCGAAGGAGATGAAAGGTCACTGGACTGCGAGCAGGGAACCCTCGGAGACGGGAGAGAGTGGGCTAAGACTGGATATCAAAGACCCGCTTGGACCCTGCGATTGACGTGACAGTTGGAGGCGGAAGAGGGTTTCCGGTCCGCGATGAAATAATTTTCAAGGTTGTTTGCTTGCGGTGTAGTGCTCATTTGCACCGGGTTATCCGACGCCCCTCGTCGCATGCATGTCATCGCCTCGCATTGTGCCGCTTCCAACGTACACTGCCAATGAAAGAGGGGCGGTTTGACACCTTTGATGTATTCGTTCACACTTCCGGCACGGCGTGCGGCAAATGTCGCCCTGAATGGCGTGTCGCCGCCTGCCTGGTGCTGGCGCTGGCCGTGCGCTGCTGGCGCTGGCCGTGGGGTGCTGACGCTGGCACTGTGATGCTGGCGCTGGCCGGGCATCGTCTGAAGGGTTACGGAGACACGGCGCCAGGCGAACCCTGCAGCGTCAGGCGAACCCTTCGGCGCCTGCGACCGAAACCTCTCCCAGACTTGAAGTCCAGACCACACGCATCAACCCCAACTATAATAAGGAGCAGGCCACCTAGCAATAAGTCGCCTCTGTGCTACGCGCGCTTCTGTCTCCTGTGCTTCTGTCCGCGGTGGCCAGCTGTGCCGGCCCGGTCCGGCTGTGTCTGGACAGAGGGCGCCGGTCCGTCCGGACTGTGTGGAGGATCTGTCCGCGGGCGCCAGGCTCAGTGACGCCCCAACTCGGCACCGCTCGGCCGCTCTCCCGCCCACGACAGATATCGTGTTCCGTGCCTTCGTTTGGGGACCGTTTGGTGACCGTTTGGTGATTGTCACAGCGCCCACCCGTAACCGGGTCGGCGCTGTGGCCGGGCTGTGGGCCGCTGGATGCCCTGGTGCATAGCGCGGAGCAGGGGCGTCAGAACGGGGGGGGGGGGGTGACGATGGAATGGATGGGGGACTTAACGGGGGATGAGGGGGACTGGACGGGGATGGGGGGACTTAACCTTGGCGGGTGGACGTTAATTAAACAAAAACAAAAAACAAAAACAAAAAATGACCACCCCGTCTCCCCCCAATCTGGAAGAGCTTGCACCGCCCCTGACTCTGAGCATGACTGACGGCAACTCGGACTGCTACCGCCAGAGCAATCAGCGCCAAGCGGCCGGCGAGCCAGCGCCGATGGTATGCGGGGATAGGGACGGAGCATGACACCACGGTCTGCGAATGCGGCGTCTGCGCTGTCGCAGCCGCGGCAGGTGCGGGACGTGTCGCACACGAAACGGCGCGCGGCAGCATTCACGAATCGGAACCGCGTGGCCGCGCGCACGACGGGCGCATAACTGCGCTGCCGGGGAGGTGGTGCCGGCTTCGGCGGGGACGCGGATGCGGACGCCGTGCGGTGGGGCCCAGCGAGGTGGCGGCGGCGGTGGGCGCCGCGAGCTCGGCGACGGCTGCTCTGCATACTGGGTCTGTTTGTCGGCTGCGTTCCGCGCTAATGGGCTTTCAGGCTCGGATCGGCATACATGCAGGGAATCGGTAATCGTTACGGTACCTGAAACAACAGGAGGCTAGTCGCGAGGCTGGATGGGGCGGACACGGGCTGCCGTCTATATGTGCGCGTATGCTGCGTCTGCCGGTCTGGAGCCGCTTGAAGTGGCCGCGCGAGGTGCGAGGTGTCGACGAAGACTGACAGCGACCGGTCGTTGCAGCCATGGACCCGCCGGACGAGACGCTGCAGTTCCAGTTCCAATGCGGTCTGGACCGCGGCTACGTCACCGTCGAGACGGCTGGTCTTACGCTCAAGACGCTGAAGGACCACGCGTTCGACTACCTGCTGCGCAAGGTGAGCTCCGCCGGCCCGCTGGTCCGCCGCCAGCAAGGTGAGCTCCGCCGGCCCGCCCGCCCGCCGCCAGCACGGCGCATGACCCCGACCGCGGCCGGGCCGGCCGGTCATCTGACCCGGCCGACCCGCCGCCGCCGCCGCCGTCGCCGGCGTCCATTGTTCGCCTGGCCTTGGCGGGCCGGTAAGCGGTCGACCGGCCGTGGTGGGCTGCTACGCGCGGCTGCCAACCCCCTCGTGATACCCCCCCCCCCCCTCCGCCACCGGGTTTCGGGCGACCGGGCACAGGGGTCGCCTCGCGCTCCCATTGTGATGGGGACCGGCCGCTTGGCAGCCGCCGTCGCCGCTGCGTCGTGTTTGTGTGTTGTGGGGCATGGAGGCCGTGGCGGCGGCCGCGGGGGAGGGGCACGCTGTTTACCGGCCTGGCTCGTGTCGCGCTCGCAGGGCAGGGGCAGGGCTGCCGGCCGCCCGCTGCTGTCAATATTGACCGCGGCGCCGGGAGAGGTGTCGGCGGGGCCGCCGGGCCGTCGGAGCCGGCGACCCGCCGTCGCGCCCGACGGCCACGGCCGGCCGCGCCGCGAGCAGCGGAGGCGGGAGCGGCCGCGGCGCGAGGGCGGCGCTGTGGCGGCGCCCCGAGCGCGGGGCTTATCATGTCGCCGTCGGTGAGCGCCACCAGGCCGGGCCCGGTCGATGCGTCGGCGCGCCGCCCGCTGGCCGGCTATCCGGATGCCGGTCGGCGCGCTGCGATCTCGCACATCGGCGCCAAGGGCCTCGTGCTGCGGCAGCCGCCGTCGCCGGCCGGGTCGGCGCTGGGCGTCGGCGCCCGGCCGCGGGACGTGTCCGGCACTCTGGGCTGGGTCACATCGGCCGTCGGCGTCGGCAGTCTCGGCCGGGCGTGACCGCCGCTCCGGGGAAGTCGGCTGCCGTGCCGCCGCCGCCGCCGCATTCCCCAGCGCTGGCGGTCAGCGGCCATGGCTGTCTGTGCGGCTCGCCGACCGTCCGGGCGCCGCCTCAGCGGGGGGGGGGGGGGGCTGGCCGGGCGCCCTGCCGTCATCCGTCAGGTCTCAGGTGCCCGCCGCGTCATCCTGCCTCGTCCGCCGTCCTGTCGCCGCCACCCGGCGCGGCACCAGCCGCTCGGCGGTCCGTTGGCGCGCCGTGTCCGCCGGCCGGCCGCGTCGGCGTCCGGCGACCTGGGGCCGTGGCGTACCGCCGCCCGCTGTCACGCCGGTGCTCGTGCACGTCGAACCCGGCGCCGTTACGTGACGTAACGCCTGTGACGGCCGTGTGTCGGCCGGCGGCGGTGGTCGCCGTCCCGCCCGGCCGCCCGCTCTGGGCGCCCCACTGGCACGCTGATGGCCGTGGCGCCGGCGGCCGATAACGAGATGCACGCGACGTAACAACAGGGGCCGGGCAGAGCGGCGGAGACGCCCCGCCGTGGCGGACCGGCAGCGGGCGTGCCCTGAGGGCTGGGCGTGGCCCGCCGGGCAGCGGCGCGCCGTCACCTGCCGCGCCGCTCCTCACCTGCTATGGACAAGTCGCAGCCGTAGCCGCTGCCGGCCCCCGCATGGGGATGGCCGTTGACCGGCCGGCCGTCGTGGCGGCCAGAGCGCCGCGGCCCGGCGGCGCTCGTGACGCGGTGCCGGCCGGCCGACCCACTTCGGCGGCGGCCGCGGCCGGCGCGCCATCCGCCCCGGTCAGCCGGCTTGCCGCGACGGCGGCCGACTGGCTGACCGAGGCGCGGCGGCGGCCGCCCGAGACTGCCGGCTGGCCGGAGGCTCTCCCGGGCCTCGGAGGCACCGTTCTGGGGTTACTCGGTTCCGTGCCCTGTGGGAGAGAGGGTTTACGTTGGACGTTGCCTGGTGTACGTGGTGACTCATTGGAAGAAATGAAGGCTGATGCGAATGTGGCTGGTGCCGGTGTTAGTGGAGCGCTCACGGTGCGTGCGGGCCACCAGCGTGCAGGGCCATGGGGTCACATTTTGCGCTGAGGCGGACGTAGGTCAAACTGTCCTGCTGTAACAAACGTGGAGAGCGCAGCCGGCGCGCCGACGGGGACCTGGCCACTGGCCACTCGGCACAGCGCACCAACTTGAGCCACCCACCTCTGGCCGACGTCGGTGGTTCGACAAACTGGCCAGCGGCGTTCTGGGTACGGCCGGGCCGTCTCCGAGCGCATGGCGCCAGGAGCCGGACTGTGGTGCGTCCCACGCCGGCCTGGCGCCGCTGCCGGCTGCCCTGCGGGACAGGGAGGGTGGGGCCGGGCAGTGGTGCGCCCCACGCCGGCCTGGCGCCGCTGTGGGACGGTGAGGGTGGGGCCGGCTAGCGGTCCGTCCCTCGGGGCAGGCAGGGTGGGGTCCGGGCGGCTGTACACGTGGCCGTATGCCGCTCGTGAGTGTTGACGTGGACTAGAGGCGCGCTGGGATCTCGGGAAGGCCCTAGGCACTGAACCACAGTCTCTACCGGAGTTGGTTGGTTGGCGCGGTTCTCGTACGCGGCTGCATGTTGCCGCGGTCCGAACTGGGAAGACAGTTATTTCTGTTGAAAATAGCACTGACTGTAGAACAGCATAGTAGCAAAGTGCACTGACAACGAGCACAGATACACTGCTTCCGGACATTTGTTATGGGTATTTTGCATATGGGTATGGGCGTTATGGGTATTATGGGTATATTGTTGTTGACTGAGCGCTGGCGGCGTCTGCTTGTCCGCCCGCCCTCTTGACGTGCCTCTGCGGTCGTCTCCCTAGCAACACGAGCCGTGTCGGGTCGGGCTGATCCCCCCCCCCTTTCCCCCCTCAAAGGCCAGTCGGTGTAGTCCAGTCCTGAGCGTACGGCCAACAAAAAGAACGAGCACGAAATACGGCCATGTTTTCAAATAAGTTTTTTTTGCCACAATTGCCTGGGGGTATTTGTCCAATTAAGATATTGCTTGGACACTTTCCGCAGTTCGTTCCACCGTCAACAGCTACGTTGTAAAATCAGTCTTCGCCGATATGTTGGCACGTGAAGTGCTGGCGTCGCCGGGCAGCGCTGTTCCGTGACGCAGGGGTGGCTTAAGCGGTCGGTTGCCAGCAGGACAGGCCCGTCAGACAGGTGGCGTCGGGTCGGGCGGACGCCGGCCCCGTCCGGCCAAGGGCCCGGCCGGCCCACGCCCCTCTCGTCGCTGTCACTCGCTGTGTGGTGGGTGGCGGCGGTCATAAATGCCTGGTTAATGCATGATGTGTGTATGTTTGTCCGCCGTCCGGCGCCTCCATCCCGCCGTTCCGCGGTGCCCCCAGCGTGGTGCTCCCGCTGTCGCCCGCACGGGGCACCTGGCACGGCGCCGTCGCTCTCGTCGGCTCGCCTCCCGCCACCGCAGCTCGCGGGTGGCTCCCGCTCCCGGTCGCCGAGTACACCCTCCGTCTGGCCGGGACAGAGCGGCGCACCGTGACCGTCGCTTCAGCCGACCGCCCGCGCGCCGGCTGGGCCCCGGCGCCGCCGGCCGGGCGGCCGTGACGTCACGCCCCCGGTGGCGCCTTTCCGGGGCGACACGGACCGGCCCGTCCCTCGCCAGCCACTCTGTGGGCTGGAGCTGCGGCTTGGCAGCGCCGGGCCGGTGACGGGGCCCGGCCCCCGTCAGGGCCGCCGCTGTGGGCGCACGCGGTGCAGGCGCGGTCCGTGGCGACCGCCGCGGAGGCTGCACGGAAGCCGAGGTGCGCTCGCGCGGGGCGCGGCGCAGACACGCGCCGCCGCGATCGTCCGGCCGGCTTATCGGCTTACGCACGCCTCACACGGGAGCGGCGTGTTCTGCGGGCTGCCGGACTGGCGGCCGGGCCAGATGTCGCGACAGATGTGACCACCTGGTCTTGCCGGTGACGTCACAGCGGCACGCGCCCGTCGAGTGACGTCGCGGCCCGCCTGGGCCGGACCGGCGCCGGGCGGTCCGGCGCCGGTCGGACGCCAGCGTTGCCGTCTGACCACCGCCTGACCACTGAGCCGGCCGCCGGCGTGTGTGAAGGGCAGTCGTGGGAAGGCGTCCGGGAAACATGGCTAGCACGGACCGGGAAAAGGGATGGAGAACCCGCCGACACCGCCGGACCCTCGGTCAGGCCCCAATGGGTCGCAGTGACCCGGTGGACATGGCGGGCAGCTCCAGCCGTGGCTCGGAGCTGGGCACCTGGCGCGTGGTATCGTGAGGCGGCGCGCGAGCGTGCTGCTCCGCTGGAGTAATGTCGAAGAAGTACCCCTTTTGTAATGTTGGCTTAAAGAGACCCTTGACAACGTAATGACACATCAAAGCAAACGAACAGCGCTGTTTTTCGAAGTATCTTTATGAGGAGCGTGGCTATTCTGCAGTCAGCATGTTGGCCGCGCCCCTGTACGAATTCCGAGCTCTCCCCTGCGTCTCATAGCGGCGATGTGCGAAGGGCCGGCGGCAGGTCGGGTCGTGCTGGGGTCGGCCATCAGGTCAGCCGGCACACAGCAGCCGCGGTCAGTACTGCGGCAGACAGACTACCAGGCGTGCTTACCTTGCTTGCTTTGTCATGACCCCGTGCTTTAAGCGCGGCTGGTAAATCGCGGTGGGGAGTGAAAAACCCTCGGCGACATATTCCAACGCCACGAGCACTGTACTTTGCAACGTCCCTTTCCGCCGTGCTCCGGGCATGACAGACGCCATCCTATGATAGACGTCATGCTATAACGGACGTCATCCCATGGCAGATGCCACCCCATGACAGACGCCACCCCATGGCAGACGTCACCACATGGCAGACGCCATTCCATGGCAGACGCCACCACATGGCAGACTCCATCCCATGGCAGACGCCACGCCGCGGAAGACGCCACCCCATGGCAGACGCCATCCGATTAAAGACGCTATACCACAGGCTACCAGGCCTGGCAGCACGTCATTGCGCTGGGCACGGGCTAATGACGCTGCTGTCACGTGCAGTCATGGCTAAGATCTCGTACCACGTCTGGATACCCGAAGGTGGGTCCTCCAATATCCTAGCTGTTGCACCTTTCGACGCCGATGCCCGTCGAAAGCTCTCGGGTCATAAACACGTTGACTGTTGATGTGTAGGACGAAATATGGACCCATCCGGTTATTGCCTTTTGGATGGAGTCTTAACGCGCATTACCGTGCATTGTACACCGTGAATTATACGGGACCAACGCACCCGGACATCGTGCATTATACGGGATTTTAACGCACCCGGACACCTTGCATTGTACGGGATCTTAACGCACCCGGACACCGGGCATTATATGGGATCAACGTGCCTGGACACCGTGCATTATATGGGATAAACGTGCCCGGATACCATGCATTATACGGGATATGAACCCACTCGGACACCGTGCATTATGCAGGATCAATGCGCCCGGACACTGTATATTACACGGGATCAGATCTGCACGTACGCCGTGATTTGTTTGATCTGCACGTGACGCCGTGATCTGGATGCAATGGTCGCGGGGCGTTGTATGGCATCGATCTTCACCAGGACGCTGTGCATGGCATGGGATCAGATCCTCTCAAACATCGTAAATTGTACCATCGCGACCCTCACCTCCTGTTATTAGGGATCAGGATTCAGCCGAACACCGTTTGCGTCAGTGATCCGGATCCAGATCCGCCTGGACGCGGTGTATGCGGGACTCCGGCGTTATCCGAACGCGGTGCGTTGTATGGTATCTGGATGTGCGGCAGCGCCGTGTGTTGAGCGAAGCCGTCCGCCTGAGTGGCGGACCTCGGGGTCGTGTTCGGTGCCTCAGGCAGGCGGCGTGGACTGGACTGAGCAGGTACAGGGACTCGAGCGACCTGTCTGGGGACTCGTGTGCCCCGCCTGGGGCTCGAGTGACCTGTCCAGGGTACGGCGACCCGCCCCTACCACTGGGACGGCTCCAAGAGATACGGAGGGCTACATGCCGGTTGTCGCCCGCAGATAAACTTTTTGTCACTCCAGTGGTTTTTGCTGTTTGTTACGCGCAAATTAATGATGGGAGATAGTTGAGAGTGACTGTGGTATCAGATTTGTGGCGATTATTGGCTGTCTCCAGGGAGCTACTTCACCGGAACGTCTTGATTTGTGAACGGTGCACGGGTGTCGTTCCATCCCATTGTCAGCACCAGTGGTCAGCGCCAAGTTCATCGCACGTGAGCAAAGGCTCGCGGCTTGAGCGTGATCGGTGTACACCTGCTGGCCGCTCCTACCGCGGCAGTGGTGACTGTCATGTTGCCACCCTCACCATTGGACGGCCACCTCCACTAGGGAGTACCGGCGCACGCTGCCCTGTCCTGCCGTCACGTGGACGCCCGGCCGTGACGGGCGGCGGGAGGCGTGCGGCCTGACCTGCTGGCGGAGCGCTCCGGAGTCGTCGCTGGCTGGGGTCGGTCTGGGTCGCGGTCAGTGGCCAGCCGTCCCCGCATCGATGTGGGGTTGGTGGTGCGGCCGGCCGGCTAGCTCGGCGCACCCGGCGTCAGACCGGCCGACTGGCGGGGGCGCGCCGCTGACGTGCGCGGCCGCTCCCGCTCCTCCTCCCCGTCCTCTGTACGCTCTCCGCTCTCCCTCCTGGCATGTCCTCCTCCCACGCGGCGCCCAGTCATCGCTGCTGCGCTGTCCGCCCTGCTGTTTCAGCTTCTTCACGCCCTTCCCAGCGCCTGTATCATTCCTCATTTCCTCCCTTCTCCTCGTCGTTCTTACTCTCTTGTCTGCTTCCCCGTTAGCTCTCTCCCCGTCATCCCTTCTCTCCTCCGCGCTCCCCGTCGTCCCTGGCCTCCTCTTCGCTTCTCGGCATCCCTGTTGTTCTTTCTGCTCCTCGGTTGCATCTGTTCATCGTCAGATCATTCATCGCTTCTCTCCTCCCGTCTCCCCTCCCAGCTCTCCGTTGTCCCTGTTGTCCTCCCCGTCACTCGCAGGTTCGCACCATTTCCGCTTGCACCCCCGCCGCCCGCCCCGTTCCGTTCGTCTGAGCTCACCGGCGGCGCCGCTCGGCCGCCGTTCGACCGCCAGTCGTGGGGGGGCGCCGGCGTCACGGACCGCTTTTTGTGCCGGCGTTCCGGTACATGCCGGGTTGCGGAGGTCGCCCGAGGCCGGGCAGGAGGAGCGGCACGGCGCGCTGGCGGACGGGCGGGGGCGGGAAGAGAGGCGTGACTCGGTCCGGCCCGCTGTGCGCGGGAAGGGCGCGGGGGAGGAGGGATGACGCAACGCCGTGTCATGTCGTGAGACGGGATGCGCGCAGCGCGGAGAGGGAGCAGTGAGAGCCTGCTGCCCCTGCCCGATCTTCGCTGGGCGGGAGGGTGCGCGTGCCAGCTTCTTCCAGCATGTGCCGGAAGGAGCTGAGCGATGGGACTGGGCGCTGACGTTGCCAGCTCCGCTTGTCATTGCAAGGGCCTGACCGTCCTCGACGCACGAACGCTTTTGTGCAGCGCTCTTTCATTTGACCGTTCTGGGGTTTGCGTCGGCTGGGTTTGAGCCGGCTGTCGGAGTCCCGACGGTTTGGATTTCTCGCGACATAGTGTCCGTATCTGATTGAATCGCGTTAGCCACGCTGTGCATGGCGAATATCGAGCACATGTGGATCTGAACCTGACGCTCTGAATCCACACAGCGGTACTGACTTCGTGGGCCCCCTTGGACCCGCCACAGCGCCTTCATTGCAGTTTTCGCTATCGAGCGATTGCGCCAGATGTGTCGGCGCTCGCCAACCCTCTGGCTTGGGCTGAAATAAACAAGTGGTCTTATGACCCCGGCTCTGGCGAACGGCTGCAGTGACGCCCGCCCCTGCCGTGCCGTTTGGCCGCCGTCTGCTCTCGCCCTCTCTCCCTCTCCCCTCTCGCCACCATCGAATGTCGTCGGAAGCCTTATGGAGGGAGAGAATGGGTGGGCAATGGCGCCGGGTAACAGTTGCTGCCGCTTCGCCTTACACTTCACAGCAGATCATCGGCAGTGAGACGCCGAGAACTTCCGCACTTGCCGATTGAATCCACCTCAAATGCCGTGTCGTCGGGCGCGACGGGTCGCAATGTCGCAATTGCTCGCGACTCGGCTAAATGAAACGCCGTCATGCGGGCTGTGGGCGAGCGTCTCGCCTCGCAGACCGCCGCAGGGGCCGCTCACCGCCGTCCCGACGCCGGCGGACTCGAGACGACGCGGGTCTCAGGACCGGCCACTGACGCCCGCCCCGTGTTTCAGCGGCCCGACAATGGCATCCAGCGCCTGCCGGAGAACCTGCTGCTGTTCCGGCACGACGCCGCCGTGCCGAACGTGCTGCAGCTCATCAACTCGGTGACGGACGTCACCTCCAACGCGCTGGTCGAGATCGTGCTCAGCGGTGAGGCGACGCGCTGACAGAGAGGAGGGAGATTAAGTGAGGAAGGGAGATAGAGAGACGGGCGAGAGTGTGCAGGTCGGCCGTATGCTGAACTCGATGGAAACTCAGGGCTCAGGAGCGGTCCCGGGTGTTAGCGTCGTGAGAGCCTCGTAGGTCCGTGCCCCGTAGGTCTGTGACGTAGGTACGTGCTTTGTAGGTCCGTGACATAGATCCGTGCCTCATAGGTCCGTGCCGGACGTATCGGGAAGGGGGCTCACGGGGCGGGGCCGTGCGTGCCGCTGGGAGGGTGAGCGCTGGGAGCTCGCCGCGGGTTGTAGCCGGGGGCAATCGGGAGTTAGCTTACTGCTGAGCCGAGAGAGAGCCCTCACGTGAGTTCGGCGAGCACTCAGGTGCGCCTGGTGAACTGAGCGAGCTCACTGGCCGCCTGCCGTGCCCGGTGTGATGCCGCCTGCCGCCGGTGCAGCGAGCGCTCGGCGGCGCGGCCGCCGGCCCGAGTCGTGTCCAGGCGGCGGTGAGTCAGACGCCGGGCGAAGGTCACGCCCCGCCGCGTGCGACCCGCCGCGGCTGGCGCGCCCGGCGGTGACGCGCCCGGCCGGCACCGCCCGCCGTCGCCAGCCGGCGGCGGCGGCGTGGTGGGCCGTCGGTATGGCCACCGGCCCGCTGGGCTGCCGCCCCGACCAGACCGCGCCCGTCGGAGGCTGGTGGAAGGCGCGGACACGGCGGCCGGCCCGAGCCGGGGCTGGCCGGCAGCGGCCCGGCCGCGCCCCGCCCTGCCGCCGGCTCAGGTGCGGCTCGGCCGACCCGGGAGTGTCTGGCCGACGCGTGCCGCGCCCAGCCGCCGCCGCCGCCGCCGGCCGCCGCCGGCCGTGAGGACCCGAGCGTCGCAGTCGCCACGACGCGCGCGGTCGGCAGGGGCCCGGCTCGGCTCGGTTCGGCCGGCGGGCTGACACGCGGCGGCCCGGCTCGTGAAGGCGTCGCCGCCCAGACGGAAGCGTCGGAGGAGGGCGCCGCGCCCCGATATGACGTCAGCGGCCCGCGCATGGCGCAACGGGGCGACGCGTGCGCGGCGGCCGCCGGCGGCCCGCTATCGGGGTTGGTGCGCCGCAGGCCGGTCCGGCCGGTCGGCGAGCGTCGCGTCACGACGCCGGCACGCGATGACACGCTGCGGCGCTGCCGGACGCTGAGTACCCTGTCGCGTCGGTCCGGCGGATGTGTGAGATCGCTCCATCTGCGGGCGCCGGCCGGGCGTCGGGGTCAGGGGCGTGGGAAGCGGCGTCGACGCGTGGCTGTGGTCCTCAGGTGGTCGGCTGACCTTTGCGGGCGCCGGCTGCGCCGGGGCGGGGCGGCGCCATTGTCGGCGGCGGCCCGCCCGGACGTCGCGGCGAGCCGGTGGCCTGCGCCGACGGCCGCGAGCCCTACGGGGCGGCGAGCGGGGCCGCCCCGCCTCACCCCGCCCCGCCCCGCCCCGCCCCGGCTGTGGCCGCCGTTAATCCCCTACGTGCCGGCGTACTCGGGCGTCCGGCCGCATAGTGCCGACGTGCGCTGGCCTGCGGCTGAGTATGGCCAGGCAGCACGTGAGCGCGGAGCCGGCGCTCGCCCGACGGCGGCGTGCCGTGAGAACGCCGACTCGGAGCCGGTCTGCCGGAGCCGGAGCACCGATCAGCAGTGGCCGGCCGACTGTCCCGCCCATGCCGTGCCGGGTCACGAGCGTGCTGCAGCCCGGTTGTGGCGCGGCCTGGCTCTCGCCGCGGCGCGGCCGAGGGGCGCCGGCGGCCGGCCGCGTACCCGCCTGCCATCCGTGCGGCGACCGGCGGCGGCCCGACCTCGCCCCCATCCGGCTGACCGGGCCGCCTCCGTCCACAGCGAGCATCACGCAGCAGGCGGCGCCGGACGTGAGGCCGCACGCGCTCTTCATCCACTCCTACAAGTCGCCCACGTTCTGCGACAACTGCGGCGAGATGCTGTTCGGCCTCGTCCGGCAGGGCCTCAAGTGTGAAGGTATGTGGGCGGGGCCAGCAGGGTATCAGAGGTGAGGTTAGGTAGGTGGGGCCAACAGGGCATCAGAGGTGAAGGCTGTTGGGTTATTGCTCGGTTGCTTAGATGAAAGCCATTTCGGCTCATAACTACGCGATGAAGAAGAGTGGATCTCTGTGGGGCAGAACTTCACGCGCCCTGGGGTCCATCCGCCGGGACTTACCCGCTGGTGGACGCCTGTTCCGGGTTTGTGTCTGACACTCAAACGGAGCCTCCACCATGGGCCACTCGTGACTAGTGCACGCTGCTCCGGACAAACGGGATGCCGCGAGGATACAGGTTAAAGCAAGCATAAGGAAAACATGGCGGATGTGAAGGTAGGCGGACCGGGTCAGGCGGGGCCGTGAGGGTACAGGCCGGCGTGCAAGATCACGTGACACTACGTTTGGGCACGCGGATGTCTGTAGACCCGCCATGCGGGGCCGAAATCGTTTGATTATTGGAGGTTTTGCTTGCGTTAACTGCTGAGGTCATTCTGCGCCCATCAGGACCAATATTGAAAGATAGGCTCTACTTGCTTTGTCCTGTCACACCACACACTCAGGCCACACGGGAATATGGACGGCAGGCCGCGGGGTGTGCGGGAAAGCAGTGAGATGGCGGGACGTTCACCTCAAGCAATGTTGGGGAAAGGTCAAGGTGTAGCGCGTGGCCAGGCACTGGTATGTCGCCAGCAGTGTCGCAGCCGGGTTGTAGGACTTGAGAAAAATGTGTGTGACGGGGAGGGAGGGTAGACGTGCGGAAGCGAAAGTCCGGCTAACCTGATACCAATCTTCTCGGGTTTCATAAAGGTGTCAGCATTTTATGGGTTTTGAGTTTTGAGTTTCGGTGTGGGGGGGGGGGGGTACCCCGCCCCGTTGTGATACTTTTGGTCACTATGCCACTTGGCGCCCCACAAGCACTGGCGATCATTTTCTCGCTCCAGCCGCACAAGCAGGCGAGCGCAGCCATTTCCGCCTGTCTGCACCGGCGCCGCGTGACGCATGGCACGGCGCCCGCCTCTCGTCCCTGCCCCTGTCCCTGTCCCTGTCCCTGTTCATGCCCGTGCCCTGTCTGTTGCCCCTGCTCGTGTCCCTCTCCCTGCGTCTCGCCCCTTCCCCGCCCCCTGCCCCTGTCCCTGTCCCTGTCCCTGTCCCTGTCCCTGCCACTGCCCCTTCCCCTGCCCATGTCTCTCGCCCCTGCTCGTGCCCCTCTTCCTGCGTCTCGTCCTTGCCGCCGCCCCCCCCCCCTCCCTTGCCCCTGTCTCTGTACCTGCTCCTACCCCGCCCCCTGCCCTCAACCTTGACCTCGATTTTGACTTTGACCTTGATCTTGTCCCCTGCTCCTTCCGCTCCTACCCCTGCCCCTGCCCGCTGCCCGCTGCGCGTTGCTCACGTGCCCAGCCGTCCCGGCAGTGGGGTCGTTGTGCATCGCTCTCGGCAGACAGCAGGGCCTGCCGCTCAGCTCAGCCGGGTCTGCAGGGATACCCCAGGGATGCAAAGTATCCGCACCACTCACGATAACACGGGCCGATAAGCGCCGGCGGTGGCCCGCCGTGAGGTTAGGCTGACCCGCCGTCGGATTAGCGCCAGGTATCTTCTGCGTGTTGACGCAGAATATTGCGTTTGGCCGGCTTGCGTGCGTGAGTATCGAGTTATGCAGAGTTTCGAGCTGTGGGTCACGCACCCACGCCGGGGCCGGGCGTTGAGAGACTGGTGACGACGCGTGTGTAATTGGCGGCCGTAGTGAGGCGACCTTGATGGTGGCCTCTGACGGGTGTTTTTGCGAGCCGCCGAGTGGGTTTGAACTGACGGCGACGTTCGTGCCAGCCGGAGCTATCAAACATCTGACCAGATGTTGTAAACTATGGGGATTTATGTGTTGATGCGCTTTGCTAGGTGACGTCTGCAGAATGATTTTGGTAGCCGTGAGTGCAGGTATTCGTGTTGGTTTATCTTTATGAGAGACTTTGAAGCTCTCTTGTTTAGTGAGCAATGTGGAGGTTTCAGTCTTCAGCGGTACTTGGGGTTTGCGTGTTGATAAAACCTGGTGGTAAACAGCGGGTGGTTTGTTATGTTGGATTTGAACCACCGAACGGCTTCGTTGGATTATAACGCATTTCCATGTTAGTAAGTAATTAACCAATATATGTCTTAAAAGCGCATGCTTTTATAGGTGTAAAAGATGTCTGTTTTCCTATGATCACACGGGTTCTCGACATCGTTTTGCTTTATTTACCGCAAATCCACAGCAACGGCAAGTCAGCTGAAGATGATAATTTAGTGTTACGACCTGTGACTGGTTGCGACCATTAATTAACTATTTCCAGATGTTCTCAACACCGCGATGGTTTACGATGGGCGAAATGGACGAGTTCGTTTGTTTGCGTTGAAGACACGTGTGACAAAAGTTGTGCTTACGTTTCGACCTTCACGCCGTGCTTCGTAGCGAAGCTTCAAAATCCGCCAGCCTTAAACATGGAGACTGCATTCACGCGGCGCTGATGGTCTGCGTATCGGGAGAGCCAGCTTTTAGCAGCTACGTCAAAGTCGCTGGTGTCGTCTGCCGCTGTGCGTGAGGAGAGCGCTCGTACGGCTCTCCGGTCACCTGAACCGGACCACTGACCGCAGGCTGCAGCAAAAACTTCCATAAGCGTTGCGCCATCAACGTGCCGAATAACTGCGTGCCTCGGGAGCGACGGCGCAAGTCGTCGTCGACGCACCTGCCCCAGTCGTCGTCCGTCACATCGCTCATCTCGCAGGCGTCCGAGGACTCGGTGAGCGCACGTGCGGGGCGCCGGTGACGCCGTCCGCGCGCCGCCCCAGCCGTCGATACGCAGGCGTGAGGCGTGGCGTGCTGTGACACCGACGGTGGCACAGTCCGAGTGGGCTGTGCGTCACGTGTGATTGTCTAGAAATAATTATCCCAAAAGAACGCGCGTAGGATGTGCGCGGTTCCAATTAGTTTCATGCACGGCTCGAGTGAGCTTCGGTTCTTTCCTTTAAGGAAAGAACCGGAGCTCTTTGATGCTCAAAAGCTCTTTGAAGAGCTTTTGGTGAGTTGTGATCATACTGTTCTTCAGAGAGTTGTTATCGAGTTTCTTGTCTGCGGGATGCCTGTGGTTTTTGTTTCGGCTCCCATCCGCTCCCTGACGGGTGATCCTTGTTTGGCTGGGGATATGGCCAGAATGGTGAACTGTATTTTTGTGCACCACCCCGCTAAACTCAGCTTTGTGAAAGAGCGCTTGCTTGGCGACAGAAAGATGCGGAGCTGCTTACCCCATCGCAGCCGTGTCGCAGTTCTTATCGCTACAGCGTATCGCTGCATTGGTATAACGTCTAGTGACCTGTCTGTGGCCATGCTCCTCCGGCCTCCAGTGACCCGTCTGGGGCCATGTTCCCCCCGGCCTCCAGTGACCCGTCTGTGGCCATGTTCCCCCGGCCTCCAGTGACCCGTCTGTGGCCATGCGCCCCCGGCCTCCAGTCATATCCGTGGCCGCGCGCCCGCGGCCTCCAGTGACGCCTGACCCGCCAGCAGGGCATGGCCTCGTCGATGCTGAACGGCAGCACCAAGTCGCGCTCGCCGTCGCTGTCGGGCCGGCCGGCCTGGGCCGAGCGCGAGATCGCCGGCCGGATCCGGATCCCGCACACCTTCGTCGTGCACTCGTACAAAAAGCCCACCAAGTGCATGCTGTGCAACAAGCTGCTGGTCGGCGTCTACAAGCAGGTGAGCCGGCCGGCGGGCTGCGCGGAAGGGAGGGGGCACTGGCACTGGCGAGCACTCCCCGGGGGGCGGGGCTGGGTGCTCATTTGGAAGCCGTAGGAGGCGCTGGGGCTCGCCAATGGCCCGGCCGGTGTTATACAGGCTTTGACCAAATGCAGCCATGTTATGGGCAAGGCTCCGTATTTCTCCCAGGCGTGACCTTGTTTGTGTGGTCACGCACCGCCCCGAGGCTGTCGCTAACCGCCCTGGTCCTGGTAACCGCCTCGTAACTGGTCCTGCAAGACGCCGGATAGCGACAGGCCCGCGTTGTGGGCGTCATAGGCCCAGACCGAGCGCTATCCGGCGCGAGTCCGTGCTACCCTGGCGCGAGTCCGTGGTACCGGGCGCGAGTCCGTGCCACCTGGCGCGAGTCCGTGCTACCCGGCGCGAGTCCGTGGTACCGGGCGCGAGTCCGTGCTGCCTGGCGCGAGTCCGTGCTACCGGGCGCGAGTCCGTGCTACGTGGCGCGAGTCCGTGCTACCCGGCGCGAGTCCGTGGTATCGGGCGCGAGTCCGTGGTATCGGGCGCGAGTCCGTGCTACCTGGCGCGATTCCGTGGTACCGGGCGCGAGTCCGTGCCACCTGGCGCGAGTCCGTGCTACCCGGCGCGAGTCCGTGGTACCGGGCGCGAGTCCGTGCTACCTGGCGCGAGTCCGTGCTACCGGGCGCGAGTCCGTGCTACGTGGCGCGAGTCCGTGCTACCCGGCGCGAGTCCGTGGTATTGGGCGCGAGTCCGTGGTATCGGGCGCGAGTCCGTGCTACCTGGCGCGATTCCGTGGTATCGGGCGCGAGTCCGTGCTACGTGGCGCGAGTCCGTGCTACCCGGCGCGAGTCCGTGGTACCGGGCGCGAGTCCGTGCTACCTGGCGCGAGTATTGCCCTTTACAGAGGCTTTGAGGCGGGCCTGCGTGTTCTTGCTTGTCGTACAGTGGGAGAGAGGGGAGAGAGAGGAGAGAGAGAGAGAGAGAGAGAGAGAGAGAGAGAGAGAGAGAGAGAGAGAGAGAGAGAGAGAGAGAGAGAGAGAGAGAGAGAGAGAGAGAGAGAGAGAGAGAGAGAGAGAGAGAGAAGAGAGAGAGGAGAGAGAGAGAGAGAGAGAGAGAGAGAGAGAGAGAAAGAGTGAGAGAGAGGGGGAGAGG